CCTGAATCACCAAATTCGCTGAAAACTTGCTCTCAGGGGTAGTTTGACCTCCTGAACACGAATATCACATCCGCTCAACTTGAAACCTCCTGGCGCCCGAGCTACAGCGCTGGCGCCAAAATACCGCAAATCACCGGCGCCTGTGGCGCGGGCCAGGAAGTTTCGGGCTAAGCGGATGTGATATTCGTATTCAGGAGGTCAAACTACCCCAGGAGACAACATTTGAGCCAAATCTGTCCACGGAGAAAAAAGTCGGTCAAAAACTGGCTCAATTCTGGATGGTTGGGGCAGTAAAGGGTAAATAGTGCCAAAAACCCCTATTTTTCCGCTCTTCTCTTCTAGCTTCTATTTAGCTCGACTTCTGGCTGACTCCACACTCACTCGACCATAAAGCGGACATAATGGTCAGAGAAACTGAGCGAGAATGGTTGGAGGATTTCTTAACGAACAATAGCATCTCGCACATGATCACCATCAAAGATGTCCAACAGTGAGTTTCAAGGGCTGACGGTGCCACAGTTGATATCGTCGAAATGTGGCGGCGCGGTGGCAGGAGGCGTGTGATGAGCCCATATCAGTGCTTGCTACTACTGCTTGTTTTCTACCTGAGTCGGCCACTACCGGTAAAAAACGCAGTCACGGCAGGGCTCACTCCATTCCTCCTGGCACAGCCCTGCTGGACTGCCACGATACTTATATAATACTTGCTCTTCGGCTCAAAAGACTGTGGGACATACGTTTGACTGGATCTAGCAAGATTTTTTTCAGTCTTCTCTTCCGTTGCTGTATGGGGTCGCCTTTCGGCTTCTGAATCTTCTAGGGAAAGCACAACTCTTTTCGTGTTGAATCTATGACCCATTGACAAGTGGTACCTTGACATGCATTTTTGCAGCTTATGCGACTTGGCGCTAGAAACGATCTCATACCCGCAGAGAACCACAGTAGTTTTCGCTGCAGGCGCTGGGGCGTGACAGAGCCGCTGAGTTTGGCGCGGTGCCAGTCCGTTTTCCATGGCATCTATTAATGGGAATCATAACTAGTGGACATCATTTGGTCTGACGCCGCGCCAACCACTCGTCTTCCCTGTTACCCCTTAGACACGCCTCGGCGTCTGCCGCGGAAACGACTATGTATACCCTCAAGAACAACCATTGAACTTTTCTTCTTGCCAGTTTTGCTCGTTACAGATGGACTACAGATCTGATTATTCTTCAGGTTGATCCTTGAACGAGAACACAAACCCAAAAAGCCGTCGCCCATCTTTGAAAAACGGCTCAACGACGAAGGAGGAAACAAAGCTCGAGTGAGTTGACGTTTTTTCAGAGAGAACTCCGAAAACCGTGGGAACTGTTAAACCGCTATCATTAAAACTATCTTGTACTGTATGAAGGAAAGAATTCGAACAGCAAAAAAGTTATACGTACCCGTTTGGTTACCCTGTTTACTTTTTACTTGTGTGGGCTTGCCGATTCATGTTTTCTGTTTCCATTTGATTTAACTATACAACCATGGATTCTTAGGACTTCCAGATCAGTGCAGGTTTTTCACCAGGAAAGTTCATGAATTACTGTTGTTCAGATATGGACAGATAGACTAGTCCTTTTCTTTTCACAGCTTCAATCCACGATTTCCATCTGCAATCCTGAGGAAGTGCAACTGAAGCCATCGTCCAAATAGATGACCATCATTCGCAGCCAGAGCAGGTCCTGCCGCAGGGAAAACTTTTGCAAAATTCCACCCCACTCCCCGGAAGTGCCCTTTCTGGCACATTCCTTCCCCATACCCAATTAACCACCATCTTCTTACTTCTCTCAACTTCCTACACGTTTTGGAGTTCTTTCTGAAAAATTTTTGCCCTAGAAAAGACATCGACCAAGGGAGAAGCATAGCGCACTATCACCAATACAACTCCTAGTGATCACCAGCGTACGAGCTGCCTGTTGGTAACCACCCTTTTCACAACACTAAGACTATCTCGCCTGATTTCACCCGAAATATATCAATGAGCGGGTTCTCGGTCCTTGAGAGTTAGAGGGTGACCTCCTACACCTCTCAATGACCGGAAACAGCTCCCCTCCACAGCGACCAAACACTAGTTTTGGTGGGGCACAACAGTGACGTCCGCTGATTACAGCTCTTTCACAGCCTGCAATTCTTGCGGTGCCTTACCGAGCAAAACTGGTACGGTTTCCCCGAAATGAGGGAGAACACCGAAATTAAATCCCTTCCTGGGAGGGCCCGTAACGGATCTTGAAATGAGATCCCATTACAACGACATTCGAGGGCAGAAAAAGTCTAGGAAGCACTAATTGGAGATTTCATCGCAAGGGAACCATCCCCATCACATACCCTCGTTCATATTGTGGGCTAGGGAGCATACCACCGTGAAGCCTGAAATGGCGGTACCTACCAGTATGACCCTCCTCAAAAGTTCTTCATATGCTGTAACCCCCTCTTCCCTATCCTATCTACAATATTCCCGAGTTTTCCCATTACTTTTCCAAAAACTTTTCCTCATTTCTCCGACGCGCCATCTAGCCAAGGGCAATCGGGTGAGGATGCGTCTCCACCAACGAAGCACATCATTAGTTGCGGATTTTGGTTGAGTCTGTACAATCCCCCTCTAAGATGTGGTCGATGCGACTCTCCCACCCCCCTTCCCCTAGTTCCCTCTTCTGTTACGATCGAGCTGTCGAGCGGAGAGGGGGGGATGTCCAGCACATGTGAAACGGAAAAACAACGAAGAGTATTCTCCAGCCTTCTCTTCTTGTAACCTCGGCATGTTAGTTTCCAATAATCAGTGTGTTACATAGTGTTCACGAGGTGTTTAGGTGGAACTATTTATTTAACGGACCGTTAAATAAATAGTTCCACCTAAAAACCTCGTGAGGCACAATATAGCGCACTGAATTATTGAAAACAACGAAAAGTCGACAACTGGGAAAATTTTTCCCAACACCTGCGATATTTTTTCTCATAAGGCAAGTAGAAACCCCCTTCCTTATCCAACAACCGAAGAGATACGGCACCCCCCCTTATAGGAATTCGTTCGTCCAGTGAAACAAGAAAAATAACTGTAAAAAAAACTTTCTCGGACCAAATACGACCACCTCTTGGGGAATCCGCGACGACGATGTGACCTGGGTGAGGATGAGCCGCCACCAATCAACGCACTCCGCATGCCCTCACGCGCGCACTAATGGACAAGCAGAACGTGTTGTGAGCGAGAATATATATAGAGAACGTGAAACGGGAAAAAAGGATAAATGTTAATAACCGGAAAAAAGCTTTCTTGTGACCGAGGAAATTTCTTTCTTATAGGCGAACTCGACCACCCTTCCAACAACCAACTACGACCCCTAATGGTATTCTCCCAGCGATGATGTACTCTGTGGGGCTAAGTCAGATATCGGCCCATACGAGTTCCTATATGAACAGAAGTTTCTTGCATGAACGAAAAAAGTTTCAAAGGCAAGTGGCACGACAAATTCCATAAGACATGTAGGATTAAACGCTTACCAGGACAGCATTCGGTATCCCTGAGGGTGCATGCGTGGCGCATTCCAAGGAAAGCCCTTTCGAGCTAGCCGGTACCTACGGCCACGCACACACGCAAAGATTGTTTTGATATGAAGTCATACGGTCTGCAGGATGTAGAGAAGTACATTTAACATACAGGCAAATATTCTTACCAGTAGCGAGGCTGATTGGCACAGATGCCAAACCCGAAAAAACTTCGATCCAAAATTGCTTTCTGTAGGTCGTGAAGAACAAAAAGCATATTTCTGCGTTTACCTTCAGACTTATTTACATCATTAATTCCTCCCAAATATCATAAAGCAGAAAACAAGAAACCTACTACCAAATTTGAGTAGCTGCTGGCTTGTCTTATGTTCAGGTGCCAAATTGTCGTTATCCCAAAAGGATAATAAGCTCTTTCGCGTTTATCAATACCCATTTATGTGGGATGCGACCTGCGATCTATACTTGACCAAATTCACAGAATCAGTAGATGGACTTAATGAATGCCGATGTGAGCGTATGCAATGGACTTGCGGGCGCTAATACCATTGAGCCGGGATGTGCAAGTTAGTGTTCTTACCACCGAATGGAGACACCGTTATGGCGCCCGCGTTCGAGGAACTCGATGGACCAACAGGCACGAGCACAGAGTGATACACAAGGTGTGAATACCCCCCCCAAGACAGAAATCTGAGTTACAATTTTACCGGTACCCCGCATGAATTCAGGAAGGCCTTGGGTTGGCCGGGAGCGGGTGCTCTACCAGGATTCGAACCCGGACCGCACGCGAAGTGGTAGAGCGCCAACTTGTCCTACACTCCAGCTCGCCATCATATTCAGTGCCCCAATGACTTCGGAAGCTTTTTTCTTGAACATCCCATTAACGACACGTACATTTTTCCAAGATACAGCGTCTCGGCGAATATCATTCCTATGACCATATAATCTCATGGATGGAAGAAGTTCAACGGTATTATCCAGACAAAGCTAGAGTGGTGAACATTGGTAATACTGAAGAAGGACGACCTATTAAAGGTATCAAGGTTCGTGCCCTAACATTATAATTGCGACCCTAATCATTGAAGCGTCCAGGCCCAGTATCCGAGTTGCCAGTTGGGACCACAGCCAGCATTTCCAACTGGGTAGTCCGGTGTCCGCCAGGCGTGGTGGACATGGTCCTAATCGCGGATGCGTTGATGAGCGCTTTATTCAGATCGGCACCGGAGTTCATCGGACTGATAAGCGAGTGATTTGGATTGATGGTGGTATTCATGCCAGAGAATGGGCAGCTGTTCACACGGTTATCTATATTATCGATAGAGTGAGTGACCTCTAAGTGGTTCTGTGCTTGGCCTTAATCGGCCATGTGTGCGCTCCATATCCCAGAGTCGGGAAGGGCGTGGCCGCAGACTTCAATTGAATATGGTTGCGACCGCACTTTATGGACAACTGGACAGAAATGGTTCAAGTGTCAGCATGTCTTCTTCCAGCGATAGAAGATGAAGTTTTAAAAAAATAATTCCACATAAATTGCTCTTCGCACCGTGATCAAATGACCTTCGCAGCCACGCCCTCCCCATCTCCTAGATATGGAGTGTTCCCTCACCCTTTGTAAACAGCAGACAATAAAATAAATTCCAGCTGATAGCAGACTATGACACGGATCCTTTGGTTCGTCGTGCAGTCGATCAGCTCAACTTCTACCTCTTCCCAGTTCTCAATCCCGACGGCTATGAGTATTCTCGTAGCGGAGTGTCCCCTATGGTTAGCCGTGTAGTTTTTTCTCCTTTTTTTTACTTTTTCAACTTTCTGTTAATGGGGATTTTGACGTCATTTGTTGATTTTAAATTTTTGATCTAACTTCTTGTGATGACTTCTCATGCTCGGACCAAATGGCCAAGGATATCCCTTTCAGATTCGATTATGGCGAAAAAACCGTTCGTCTATGATCTGTAAGAAGGATCAATGGTTCCGTGAACGCTGTTGTGGTGGTGTGGATCTCAACCGAAATTTCGATTGGTTTTGGGGAGGTAAGTCAGCTGGGAAAGTTTCTACCAGGGGGGGAAGCATTTGCAGGGATCCTTGTGGAAAAATGTAAGCCAAATAGCTCCACCGACCAGAACTTACTTGCAGAGATTGGCTCGAGCTCTGATCGCTGTTCCGAGATCTATCAGGGGAAGGCGCCATTCAGCGAGAGTGAATCCAGGTTAGACGTATCCATTATTATTTCATAGCCTTATTTGCCAGTGTTAACATAGCTGAGTGGGTCCGTACGGCAGCCTCCTTCTCCTCACCAGGCTGAGGCCCAGAGCGCAGACGACGAGGGTTGCGATGGAGATACCACTGAAAGAAAGAAGACAAGGCCAAACGAAAGAACACGTAGTGGCCAGGGGGCGAGTTTTTACAAGGGGTGGGGACCGCGGAGTAGGGAGCCACATATCTTACGTGAAAAGTTGGAATGGGTGAAGTTGCA